GGCGCTTTACGGTATAATATCCGCTAAAAAAGTCCTGCGAATACCCTCTAAGCTGCTTAGCGCGAAGCCGCGGGATCCCCGTTTAGGGATTCTCCGCGTCTCCGCACCTAGCAGCCTCCCGGCCAAGCCGGGGCTCCACGGCAGGGCTGTTAAACACTTAAGCGGAAATCCGATTATGCATCTAATAGTAGGCTTGCTAAAGGATTTTATAACGACACAGCGGGTACTTAACTGAGTTGTCCCATCTTCATCAGTTACTTATCAACGGTAATTATATTAATATCATGATGATCGACGCAAATTGCACAGCTGCCTGCGCCTGCGCAGTGTTAATCGAAGGCTTTAAGGTCGGTACACACATGTCATCACCGCGTATAGGTACAGATTATATTAATAATAATAATAAATCATTTTTATTTGAGGCACTGGTATGCATTCAAATACATGTCCCATAGATTATTAATTACAATTAAATCCACTTACGTTTCGTCAAAACTTAAATGAAACATTATTGATTCCATACATTATTCTAAGTCATTTAACTGTCAATCATTATTCCATATTGTATTAAACATTGTATTAAGTTTTCAGTTTACAAAAATTTAAATCGTACATATATAAAGTTCGAAAAACAGCCGAAACAATGCTATTGGTACATTTTATTTGTCGTTGTTCTCTGCTTTGTGTAAAAAATGCAACTTTAACACATAGCAGTTGTTTCGTCGTTAATGCGTAGATCTTCAATACAGCTAAGTTTTCCTAATAATGCGTATATAATGAATATAATTACAAAATAAAAATATATGGGTTAAAACATTTGCTAGAGAAAGTTCAGTGCGTACAAATTTAAATTTCGTAGAGAGAAGTACATAGCTACTCGTATAGGGAAGGATTTGTCGTCACGTCGGTCACAGCTGCTCCTACTGCTCCATCCATCTGGGGTCCTTAAAAAGAGGCGTGAAGAAGCATTTTTGCATTTCGGCAAGGTACTAAAGAGTGGCATGGTTGGTGTGGCAGGGTTTATAACTGCTGTACCAGCTATCTTCGCGGTTTGGACTTTATCACCACTTAACATCTGGTGGGGTAGAGTGATTTGCCTACCTGGCTACATAAAAATAAAAAAAGATTTCACAATATTCTGGTTGATGCACATAGCTACTTTTTTCATAGTGATAAGGACAACCTGCTTTTAAAATGACAAATAGCTAACACGAATAACTTAGTGATATGACGCCATAGCAGATATTGGTTTAATCATCATCATCAGCCTATTAATGTCCCCACTGCTGGGGTTCAGGCCTTCCCTATGGATGGAATAGGGAGATTGGTCCATGACCCACCACGCGGGCACAGTGCGGATTGGTGGGTGCTAACGACTTCAGATGAAGGAAGGACCAACGGCTTAACGTGCCTTCCGAAGCACGGAGAAACTCGAGATTGTAAATTTTTGGCCACCCATCCAATGAAAGACCACTGCGAAAGTTTCTTAACTTCAACGGACGCAGCCGAACGCGCTAACCATTTGCGCCATCGACCTCCTCAATAATGTACACTGGTACTTATATATTTTCTATTTTGCAACCTAGTATCCGTAAGCGGATATTGGTTTGACAACGAGGAATGTGTGCTTTTACCTTTATCACCTGCTCTTGTTGTGGTTGTGGAATTGCAATTCATTCAATGATTCATTAACAGTAGAATACACTCGTGAGGTAACATTTAATACCGATTTTCTAATGACTTTTTAATAATAAGCTGGTTTAAGTTACCTAATTATAATTATTCTATTTCAACCACTGTAATATATAAAATTCTCGTGTCACGGTGTGCGTAATTGAACTACTCCGAAACGGCTCAACCGATTTTCATGAAATTTTATATGCATATTCAGTAGGTCTGAGCATCGGACAACATTTATTTTTCATCCCCCTAAATGTTAAGGGTGGTTCACGCTTAAATTTTTTATTTCTTTTGGACAAAATTTTTTGTTTTTATTTTTTTATGATACACCCTACAAAAATACATACAACCCTTAACTTACACCCTTCTACTAACAAACCCCTATTTTTTATCGCGGTACGAAGTTCGCTGGGACAGCTAGTATCATGATAAATATCTTTATGTAACTGTAATTGTTGTATAATGAGGGCAAGGGCGGATCCAGGGGGTGGGTCATGGGGGTCATGACCCACCCTGGGCTGGGTCCATCTGTACCCACTTCACAATCTGTACCCACTGTGACTTGATCACGACTATATGACCCCCCCCTGGCGCCAAAACTGGATCCGCCCTTGAATGAGGGGTCCTTAAACACATAAGTGGGTTTATGGAGTGTTGAAATACCTAATTACAAAAAGATACTTAAAATACATTAATATTATCTACTCCCATTATATCAATCTATATATACGAGTATATAAAACTCAAAGGTGACTGACTGACATAGTGATCTATCAACGCACAGCCCAAACCACTGGACGGATCGGGCCGAAATTTGGCGTGCAGGTAGATGTTATGACGTAGGCATCCGATAAGAAAGGATTTTATTCAATTCTACCCCCAAGGGGATAAAATAGGGAATGAAAGTTTGTATGAAACTTTGTCAATTTTAAACCGATCGGGCTGAGACTTCGCATGCAGATATAAGAAGAATCATATATGAATGTCATTGTGTTTAATACAAGCCTGAGAACAAAAACTGTAGTCTATACTTCAGCTCTACACCGAAGCGAAGCGAGGGCGGGCCGCTAGTCCTCTATAAAAGATTCTGAAACCATGGGGTGTTCCTAGAACTGTAGGTAAATTCATGAAAAGTTTCTGCGCTGTGGTAGCGAAACGCGCGCGAATATTAGTTTTTTGAAATTCATACAGATTACCACACCACGAAAATTACCAACGAAAATGTGGTTGCAATTGCAATTTCTTGCCTTTTTTAATTACGAATAGATTTGGAGTACTTTTTTTTTGTGACATTGCATATTATTATTATCATCTTTAAATTAATTTTATTTATTTTGGCGTCACTGAACCTCATTAATGTTATTATCTTCTATGACCTGTAATATTTGCACGTTGGCATTCAATAAAATAAGCTGGAAACTAAAGAAATACCTAGAGCCTGTGTGGAAAGAGAATGGGATTTCGATTGGAGGGCGCTGTAGTGTTTTTCTACCGTATTTGTAAGGTTTTACCCCTTTTAGACATGATTAAATACAACCGCAAGAAATCACAACAACAAACAAATCCGTATCAATACAAAACTTTGACGTTTTACAGATTGCTTGGTTTGATTGTCAAATAAAAATCTTAATGTTAGTTCCGTTTTTCGCCACGCGCATTGTCTTTCCTCACAGACTAACAACTATTGTAACCATATTTTGGCAAATAAATGATTATTTTTATTATTATTGTTGACTGACAACATTATATATCTAAGCATCCAATGTCACTATATCATTGGTCCATGCTTAAACTCGCATGCCGAAGCATAGTTACCATTATAATCTTAGGTAACACACCGATAAAATTGTAATTACATCAAATATTACAGTTTATATGCGGACAGTCGCGCCGTTTCACATTAAGAATTCATGTCATGCAAAGTAAAACAGATTGTCTGTATCATTGCGATATCCATAAATCATAGAGCTATTTCGATATCTATTTTTCTTAAGATCATTAATAATTAAATTTTATTGTTTGTTTTAATTAAAGAGTCACATTGAGAATTTCTAATTTAATAGAGAAGTCAAGTCTTCTCGTCACCCATCCCTCAATGTCTCAAGTCGAAAGTCTTCGACCAGTGCGTCCTCCCAGTTATGACATAAGGCGCCGAGACGTGAACACTCACGGCTGGACGAGTCCACCAGTTTAAAGTCGCTCAGAGAGCTATGGAAAGGGCTATGCTCGGAGTATCCATGAAGGACCGCATCAGAAATGATCTAATCCGGCAGAGAACCAAAGTCACCGACATAGCCGACCGAATTAGCAAACTGAAGTGGCAGTGGGCTGGTCACATTAGCCAGAGAACTGATGGCCGTTGGAGCCGGAAAGTTCTTGAGTGGAGACCACGACTCGGTAAACGTAGTGTAGGACGCCCTGAGACAAGATGGGATGATGATATTCGTAGGCTGGCTGGAGGGGGCTGGATGAGAGTAGCACAAAATCGGGAGCAGTGGCGTGCATTAGGGGAGACCTATGTCCAGCAGTGGACGAACATGGGTTGATGATGATGATTGAGAATTTCCCTCTCGAATTGGAGCTCTTAAGGAGAATTTAAGTTATAATTTTTATTATTTTTAAAGCATGTAACTGCTTGATGTTTAAATCTAAAGAAAATATAACTAGAAAAAATTCCACGCGGACCAGGCAGCAGACAGGACTCGAACCCGCACCCTTCGCAATCCGGGCGAATGCACTGACCAATTATGCTACCGCGGCCCTCACGGACCGCGTCGAAATTCTTTCTAGCTATTCTTAAGCTGCAGGGCAGCGCCATCTCTTCGCATTATAGGAGAATTTAAGTGTCAATATTTTTAAAACTTTTTTAAACGTTGAACTTGTAATTCATCTCATTCGACGACCTCCGCGAGCTCCGTGGCCGAGTGGTTTGTACGCCGGCTTTGAGAGGTCCCGAATGGAATGTCCCCGAGGGGTTTGAATCCTAGTGGGGGCAGACGTTTGTGTGATGAATACGAGCATTTATACTCCAGTCGTGGATATTTAATATGTATTTCTATATAAATATACTTTTATAAGTACAGTATATGTATTCTATCCGTTACATTAGCATCCCATAACACAAGCCTCACAGTGCTTACGTTGGGGCTAGGTTAATTGGTGTGAGTGTTGGAAATATTTATTTATTATCTTTTTCACAAAATATGCATAAATTAACCTCATTAAGAAGTGGAAGAATTTAAATAGATGAAAAATTTACATAATTATAAATGTTTCCATTTAAATATAAATTGATATTAACAAACAAAATAAATCCTATGTTAAACTAAAGTTCTTTTTTCATTCTTTATAGACGAAGCGACAATGGCGCCATCTATTAGCGTAAAGGAGTACTACGCGGAAAAGTCTATATTCATCACGGGCTCCACAGGCTTCATGGGAAAAGTTTTGGTGGAGAAGATCCTGAGGTCTTGTCCCGATGTGAAGTGCTTGTACTTGCTCATGAGATCCAAGAAGGGACACAGCAGTAAAGAGAGGATAGACGAGTTTTTGAACTGCAAGGTGAGTTATAGCTCCATCTTTTGACGAGTAGCAGTACTATAAAAAAGAACAAAAGCAGCAAAAGGAAAAATATAAGCCATATTTTTTTCTTAACAAAAAGGTTTTGTGGTGCATAGAAATCTATGCAGCTTAATTTTTTATGAAGATTAAGAGTCCGGCATTTGTTTTCCAGGTGTTTGATTATTTGAAAAGCGAGTATCCAGAAGCACGAGTTGACGAGTAGCAGTACTATAAAAAAAGAACAAAAGCAGCAAAAGGAAAAATATAAGCCATATTTTTTTCTTAACAAAAAGGTTTTGTGGTGCATAGAAATCTATGCAGCTTAATTTTTTATGAAGATTAAGAGTCCGGCATTTGTTTTCCAGGTGTTTGATTATTTGAAAAGCGAGTATCCAGAACAGCTGCAGAAACTGCGAGTGGTTCCAGGTGACATCCTGGTAGAAGACCTGGGAATGAGCAAAGAGGACCGGGAGATGCTGCAGAAGGAGTGTCACGTGGTGTTCCACTGCGCTGCCTGCGTGAGGTCTGTATCCAAATAAATAGAATGCCTTGCCCACTCACGTATTCCCTCGCCCGTGGTCCTATAAAAGAGGCGTGAAGAAGTACCTTTATAAGACGACAAGGTGAGGATGGCTGGTGTGGCAGTAAAACTGCTGTACCAGCTATCTTGGCGTCTGGACTCCACCATCTCTTAACAACAACCTACTTATATAATTATAAAAATAATTCTGTTGTTCAAAAAATATTTTTAAAACATAAGCTAAAATATTACCCGTAAAAATTGTGTTAGACTGGAGACCAAGTAGACATTTTTTGCTAGATTTATAAATCTAATATTTTGACCATTGAAAACACTTTTCTTCAGCCTAAATTAAAACTTACCTAACGTGGCATCAAATTACTAATGTTATCATTTCAGATTCGACATGTTCATCCGGGACGCGGTCAACTTGAACACCGTTGGGACCCAGAGGGTGTTGGATCTGGCCTCCGGGATGACAAAGCTGGAGGTGAGATTAAAAAAGTTTACCTATGAAAGCTGTTTCACGTCCAGCATTTTGAAGTTATACTTCTTTAGGCGCGTTATGAAAAAATGATGAGAGTGAAATTTTAAGATGCGCGCGTATCACTGTAACACAAAAAATTAACAGCATGAAGTTTGTCGCTTTAGCGGCCCACTTCATGCTGTTACTTTTGTGTTTACCGCACATTAAGAAAATCTACCAACAAAATAGAAATAGAATCTCTATTTTGTGGGTGCTAACGACTGCATTGTGAAGGCCTATCAAAAGTATTTATTAATCTGGAACAACGGAACCAAAGCGCGATTCAGGAGACTACAGCGCCATCTCTTGACCATTGGTGTAGTAGAACCAAAAACCACATCTTTATTTTTTGTAATAAAGTAACAGTTATAGGTATTCATATTTATAATATTTATCCACATGTTTCTAGTTTGTATATTCGGAATACGTGTTTGAGTTTCATACAAGTGCAAATCACATATGTTCTAATAAATTATATTCAGTAGCGATTTTAATTGAATATTTAGATTATTTATTTATTTTTTCAAATTAAAACTGAACTTTATTGACTGTGTCCTTTTCCAGACTTTTTATTAATTTATTGTAATTAATTATTTGCATGCCATTAAAAACTAATTTAAAACGATGCCAAAGAAGGATAACTTCTCACGCGCCTACATAAGTACACGCACCTATTTTTTTATAGTTTGGGCGTACTTGAATAGCACCTGCCTGTGGAAGCAACTTGGTTGTGTTGTATTTCTTAGGTTACTAATTACTTGTGTTGCGCTCTCGTTGGTCCATTGTGCGTGCAGAGTTGATTGGGCTGGCTAGCACAGCCAACCCAGCTCCTTACAGAAGCGTAGTAGTCTCCTGGGACCCTCACAGGCTTCTAGGATCATCCTCGGCTTCCTGAGGATTGATGCCTGTAACGCTCGTGCATTCCAGGATCACTGAGCGGCTTTATCTCTACTTTCATATATAGTGCCTATTGGAGGCCCTGGGCATATTAGGATAATGGGCCCCCTTTGACTTCCGTTTGGTGATTTAACAGGAACTAGGGACTTTGGATTTGATCTGAGGGGGTCCCCTATCGATCGCGGGGCCCTGGGCACTTGCCCAAAGTGCCCACTGGGAAAGACGGGTCTGTTCATATATTATGTATTTTAGTGGTACTGTGTTTCTTTGTTGTGTGTGTTACCTGAAACGGGACACTTCTCGGCCACTCCTACACTGCTTTTATAAAAAAAAACTAATTTTTATATTATGACTTCTGGAGTTCTAACTTTTGTGTTCGGTTTTTAGGTCTTTGTGCACGTCTCTACGGCGTATAACCACTGTGATTTGGAAGTGCTGGAGGAGAAGTTGTACCCCTCCAAGCACAAGCCTCACCACGTCATGAACTGCGTCTCTTGGATGGACGACCAACTCCTGGAGCATATGCAGCCCAAGTGAGTGTTTGATACTTGAAAAAGTTGTTTTGATATTCATTATTAGTATTATTGCCAAAATATAGAGAATGAGCCATGACTCGTGGAAATCTAGCCTTTCGAGATAAAGATTTCGATCACCTATCCTATGACCAACCATTGCGATATTTGCTTATCTTTCACGATATCAGACCGAACAGGCTTTCTACAGCGCTATTAATTCCCTCTCAGATTTAAATTAGATATTGCGTTTCTTAAAATAAATATGATTATAATTTTAAGGTAATAGTGATAATGTCCGAAACATTATTGCCGCTTATATCATTGACAGGGTGTTTCAGAGTTCCTAGAACTTTATAACATACCAGCTATGCAAATTATATATAATTAGCATGATTTCCTGTTTCATCTCTGTTCATGTAAAATTGATTAATATCATCATGTTTCAGACTCATAGAGCCCCAGCCTAATACATACGCTTACACAAAAGCGTTGACCGAAGACCTGGTGGGACAGTACGCTGACAAATTCCCCATAGTCATAGCAAGGCCATCTATCGGTGAGTAGCTGAACTAAACTTTACCTTTCAATTTAAAGGATTCAAAATGTTTTAATTTTTTATTTATAATTATATATATCATAATTTATCTTTTGTTTTGCAGTGACTGCGTCGTTTAAGGAGCCAATGCCCGGTTGGGTTGACAATTTAAACGGCCCTACGGGTCTTATGGTTGGCGCTGGCAAAGGTAATCAATCAAACAAAAATTAAAACATTCCTAACGCCTGTCAGAAAATTATTGGCAAAAGACGCAACTGTACAGCTTTGGGAGTTTCTAAAGCTTTGGTATTTTAAAAAATCAGGCGTGCTATTTGATATTTTTAAATCAATTTATATTTATTTTTATATTTATAGGTGCAATAAGAACTATGCATATGGACGAAACTCTACATGCGGATGTCATACCAGTCGATATGGTGGTCAACGCCTGCATACTCCTCGCGTACACCACAGCATTAGAGAAGTAAGTTTTTAATTTTAAAATCATTCATAAGTAGGGTGATATCCATCTGGACTATTCCGGACTTTTACACTCTAGTCCGGTAGTGGCGGACTAACAGGGGGGCGGAAGGGGCGGTCCGCCCCGGGCCTCCGATTTTGGGGGCCCCCAAATGTCTCCGCGTTTCCCTGATCGCATCCTAAACTAGATTTTAAAAATGTGCTTAGTACCTACATAATTTCATCAAGATGAAAACACTACAGCCATCTAGACTTTTTACGCGGTACTAATATTCTTTTGACTTCGCTGAACGGGTCCAATACGCTGGGGGAATTCCCGTCTCTGTAGCTGGTACTTCCTCAGGTACCCCTGAATGAATGAAGTACAAATAATTCAGTCTTATACGCCTACATTTAATAACATTCACAGCATTCACTATATTTACGTCGAAAAATAAACATTGGCCTCATTTAAAATGCGTTCAAAGTAACCTCATTAAAAAAAGTAATAGTGCTTTTGATTTTTGTTTCGGTATGAAAGTAAATGACTTTAGATTTGAGTTAGGTATTATACATTTTTAAGTATTTGGAAAAAGTAAGTAATTCTTCGTATAATTTAGCCTAGAAATCATAATCCGTAGTTTCTAGTCAATATGCACCTACGTTTCTAGTCAATATGTACCATATTGTAGGTGTTAAACTTTTTTAATATTAGTTTAAATAAAAGTTTCTGAATGAACTTATTGTTTTTATTTGCACAAGCACTTTTTATTTTATAGTTTTACACAAGTTTTACAACAAGATAATTTTTTGGATACTATGCATCTATTTGTTTTTTAGAAAAAAAAATGGTGGTGGTTGTTTTTTAATTTATTTTTTTTAGACAAAGTTGTGAAATTATACAGCCTTTTACAACACACCCCCTTAATTTTACAATCTTTATTAATTAATATTAAAGTTTTACAATATTTTAAATCATACTACATATTTTATTTCAGTTATACAATGTTTGAAAAGTTAAAAATATTAGCTATTGCTTTACAAAATCAGTCATAAACAAGTTTTAAAAATTTAAATGAACTTAATTTTACAATTTTGAATTACAATGAAAACAGTATTGATTTAGTTTATAATATTTACCAACAGTTTATAGAATTTCTCAGAACATAAACTTTTTGTCATCAAATCTGCATGATTTTGATTTGTGTTGACATACTTAATGGAAATTATATTTTTGTCTATTATATCCTTCAGAAAATAATATTTTATGTCTATGTGCTTAGTTCTTTTTGAGTTTTCGAAATTTTTAGACATAGATATAGCACTTATATTGTCCACTAGTAATGTATTTTCTTTTCCAGGGCATTTCAAGTGTTTGGCAACTCCTTTCAGGTTTAGTAATTCTTGAGCTGTTACTGCTGCTGCTACATATTCTGCTTCAGCAGTAGATAATGCCACACAGGGTTGTTTCTTTGACGACCATGCTACAGGGTTCTTGCCGTGAAGTATTATTGTTCCGCTTACACTTTTACGGTCTGTTTCATCAGCTGCCCAATCAGCATCGGAATAAGCAAGTAAGTCATTATTTTGTGATTTCTTAAAAATTAATCCTTTATATTTTGTTGTTTTCAGGTACCTCAGTATTCTTTTTCCAGCTTTCCAGGCGGTTTCATCTACTTTATCCAGGTACCTGCTGAGATATGATACTGGGTAAGTAATATCAGGTCTTGTCATCACGCTTAAATAAAGTAGGCTTCCAATCATCTCTCGATACAAATCTTTCTTTTCTCCTTCTTCCTTTTCTTCATTACCTTTTATCTTAAAATTTACTTCCATAGGTGTTCTCATATCCTTGCTTTCTAGCATGTTAAATTTAGTTAGTATTTTTTCTATTAATTTAGTTTGCTTCATTGATATGGTATCTATGTTTCTCTCGATTTCCATTCCTAAAAACCTTTTTGCTTTCCCCAGATCTTTTGCATTGAATTCTGTTTTTAAATCTTCTATTGTTTTCTCAGCATTCTTTCCTATCAGTAATGTGTCATCAACATAGATTATCATCCAGCAGTCTTCTTTATAGTATAGGCAAGAGTCATATTCTGATCTTTTAAATCCTCTTTTTATAGCAAACTCATTGATGGTATCATTCCAACAACGTGGCGATTCGGTTAAACCATAGAGAGCTCTGTTTAATTTTAATACCATATTTCTATTTTTTTGTATGTAACCTTCAGGTGGTTTTATATAAATATCTGATTTCAGCTTTCCATTTAGGAATGCAGTTGGAATATCAATCTGCCTTATTGGTAGGTCTTCATTCAGAGCCTTTGACATTAGCATTCTAATACTAGACATTCTTGCCACAGGTGAATATAGGTATTGGTTGTTATCGTCCTTCTTGACTTGGAATCCTCGGGCTACTAATCTGGCCTTCTTGGTGCCATCTTCTTTTTCCTTAAACAACCATTTTGTATCTATAGGTTTTTTGTTTTCAGGTAGAATTTTTTCTGTCCAAGTTTCTAATTTTATTAAAGCTGATAGTTCTTTATCTATGGCTTCTGACCAGTCTTTATCTTCCTTTGCTTCTTTGTAGGTATTTGGTATGTTTTGACCTTGGGCTATATTTGTTTCGTAATCTTCTAAATATCTAGGTTTTTTCAATATTCGACCTGTTCTTGTAATATATCTGTTTTCTAAATTTTCTCTTTCTTCTTGATTCTCTTCTACTTGGTTTTCTTCTATTTCATTTTCTTGTATGATATTGTAGTCTTCTATTTCAGTTAAATTTTCTTCTAAATATTCTTCTTCTGTATATAATTCTTCATTTTCACTTTGTTTTTCTAACTGTTTGTTTTGTTCCAAAATTATGTTTTCGTTATTTGTATTTTGTATTATAAGTATTTCAGGTGTATTATTATTATTTTCTTGTTCTTTATCTTTCTTTTCAAAGTTTTTAAAATTGACGTCCCTTCTAATTGTAATTATTCGTTTTTCAGGTATCCAGAGTCTGTATCCAGTTGGCGCATAACCAACCATGATCATCTTCTCAGATCTTTCTTCCAGTTTCTTCAATGGATGTAGATTTTTTGTATATACTTCGGAACCAAAGATTTGAATATTTTTAACATTAGGTCTTCTGTTTGTCCATTTTTCTATAGGTGTTTTTATTTCGCCATGTTTTGGTGTTCTATTTAGCAGGTAAGTGGCAGCAAGTACAGCTTCTCCCCACATTTCCTTTTCTAGGTTTGACTGAAACAACATAGCTCGTACTTTTTCCATCAGGGTACGGTTGAAACGTTCAGCCTTGCCATTTTGTTGCGGGCTATATGCTACTGTATAATCAAGCCGTATACCGCGGGATCTACACCAGTCCTTGAGATGAGAGCTGGTATATTCACCACCATTATCGCAACGAATTATACTGACCTTTAGGTTTGTATGAGACTCAACTTCTATTACATATTCCTTTAAATAGGTAAATACTTCACTTTTGTGAGTGATCAGGTAAGTTTGTGTATAGTCGGTGAAGTCATCAATAAATGATAATACATAACTTTTCTCGTTCCAGGTGGATGGTGTTACTGGGCCACAAACATCAGTGTGAATGGTATGTATTTTTCTTTCAGCTCTATGGCGTGAATAGAATGGCAGTCTTGTTTGTTTGGATCTCATACAGACATCACATGTAGAGGTAAGTCAGTCTATTTCTTTGTTTGTTACATTTATACCATCAACAGATTTTATTATATTTTTAAGAGTTTCTTTTCCTGGGTGTCCATATTTAATATGCCAATTTTCTGCAGTTTCAGTTTTTGTTAATAACAAGGCATCTTCAATATTAGTTAATAAGTTTATATTGTATAAGCCATGTATATTTTTAGTACCTTTTAGTAGAATATTGTCATTTTTCTTTATTATTACTTCGTTTTTAGTAAATGTAACTTCTCCATCTTTTTTAGTAATTCCGTGTACAGAGAGTAAGTTTTTCTTTAAGTTAGGCACATAAAGTACATTTGTGAAGTTGACATTATCTGTTTGTATTATTCCCATAGTATTAGATTCAAGTGTATTGTCCTTCTTCGCTGTTTGTATTTGTATTGCACAGTTTTCTTGTTTAGTGAGTATTGACTTATTATTGGTCATATGGGAAGAGCATCCTGAATCAACAATGAAATTTTCAGACTGTGTATAAAACGACATCGCATTTCCTTCCTTTTTATTATTATTTTTATTCTTATTCCAAAAGCAATCTCGTTCTTTATGGTTATATTTTTTACAAATTGTACACTGTGTTTTATTCTTGAAGTAGCAATTCTTTTCCATGTGATTGTCTTTTTTGCAAATTGAGCAATGTTTTTTATTATTTTGAAATTTTTTGTGTGTGACTTTAAATGCTGTACTATTTTGGAATTCATTCATGTCTCTAGATCTCTGATGTTCCACTAATAATCTGGCAGTTAAATTTACTATAGTTTGTTCAGTGAGTGGAGTGGATTCCCATGCTGTCAAAAAATGTCTGTATTGATCTGGCAATGTTGATAATATTTTTGATATGAGCATTTTCTCATTGATTTTTTCGCCCAAGCTGTTATGTTGGTGGGCAATGTTTTCTAGAATGCCAACATGATGCGTCATATCTTTATTTGTATCGTATTTGTACATAAAAAAATCTTGTAGCAACTGACATTTCCTTTGGTCGGAATTTCGCTCATAAATGGCAAGTAATTTGTCATACATAGCTTTCGAATTTTCGCAAGACAATAATGTAGACAACAGTTTTTTATCAATAGTACTAGTTATTATTCTTTGCGCTTGTGCATCTAGTTGGATTGTTTTTTCATCTCTTTTATGAGCGGAAATGCCTGACTGCACCAGGTCTATTATCCCTTCGCTTTTCAATAAAATGTTTATTTGGAATTTCCATAATGGAAATGATTTCTCATCAACAAACCTTTCTATGTTTTTTGAGGTTATCCATGTTATAATGCTTCTTCGGTTTTTATGATTTTACGTTCTTCAGATTTGTTTGGCGCAACCACGGACTGCTACCATGTTAAACTTTTTTAATATTAGTTTAAATAAAAGTTTCTGAATGAACTTATTGTTTTTATTTGCACAAGCACTTTTTATTTTATAGTTTTACACAAGTTTTACAACAAGATAATTTTTTGGATACTATGCATCTATTTGTTTTTTAGAAAAAAAAAATGGTGGTGGTTGTTTTTTAATTTATTTAAGTACAACAGTAGGTATGTTTATTTAGCTTAAATAATTTAATTGGAATTTAAATTTCACTCGCCAGATTTTAACGAAACAAACTAAGAAACTACATTTTTTCTTTAAAACTGGGGGGCCTCATTTTGCCGCCCCGGGCCTCTGACGAGCTTAGTCCGGACTTTGTCCAACTCTTTAATATAGCCATTTTGTTTAATTTGATGGAATATGAGTACTCCTCATCCTACCCCCTCGCAATGAGAGCATCTGCTACTTTGCCTATCATATCATACCACTGTTAACTGAATCTAAAGGCCGCTGCTTACGTGACGAGTTTTTATCCGGACGGGACGGGACGGGAAGTTTTGGAAACATCGTTTCATACACAATGTATACAAAAACACATGTGTGTGGTGGTGTCGAGACCCTTGGTCCGTGGGGTCCTAGCGCTATAAGGCTTTTTAAAGAAATAGCGAAAAGATTAGTCGACATCACAGGAGACCGAAGAGCTGGCAGCTACCTCGGACAAAGAATTAGTTTAGCTATCCAAAGGGGGAACGCTGCCAGTATCTTCGGAACCTTGCCTAAAGGGACTCCTTTTAATAATGTATTTTAGTTATTATATTTTATTTTTTAAGGTTTTTAGTTTTAGGTTCATTGTTATAGTATATTTTTTGTTTTAATTATTCTTAAATTTATATATTGACTGCTAAACAAAACACATATGTCACGGGTACATGGACGGGGCGAGAACTTGGACGGGAAAAAATATCGTCGCGGACGACGTTTAGCACCGTCCCGCTCGTGGTTGCGCTACGTATGCATCTGTCGCTCTGTTCTGCTCATTCCGAACAGATCTGTAATGACGCGTTAATCCAAGAATATAAAATTACTAGCTGTCCCAGCGAACTTCGTACCGCCATAAAAAAATAGGGGTTGGTGGTAGAAGGGTGAAAATTTAGGGTTGTATGTATTTTTGTATGATGTATCATAAAAAAAATCAAAAAAAAAATATCTAAAATCGAAAAAAAAAATTTGGGGTGGATTACCCTTAACATTTAGGGGGATGAAAAATAGATGTTGTCCGATTCTCAGACCTACCCAATATGCACACAAAATTTCATGAGAATCGGGAAAGCCGTTTCGGAGGTGTTTAACCACAAACACCGCGACACGAGAATTTCATATATTAGATAAAATTACATTTGCAATCATTATAAAATCATTAATAGCACGTTAGATTCGATTAACTGTCACGGTGCGTATGCGTTTGTACCACGTTCCCGTTTTGAACGAGATAATCACATGCCCGTCCCGATCACGTCCCGTCCGAAGTATTTACTCGTCACGCCCCCTTTCCACCACCGGACGCCAGGCGCGGCGAAGGCTTCCACCCTTATGTTGTCGAAGTTCCTCCCATTCGCACGAAGCGATTTGCTTCGGCCTTCATTATGCGAACGGCTAGGGAGTGGAACTCCTTGCCGAGGTCTGTTTTCCCGGACCAATATAATCTGGACATCTTCAAGGCCAGAGTGAACAGGCATCTTCTAGGCAGGCGTGTACCATCCTAGGCCTCATCATCACTTTCCATCAGGTGAGATTGTGGTCAAACGCATTGCCTATTATGCATAAAAAAAAGCGGCCTTAAGTAATGTTTCATTTTGTGACTAAAAAGTCCGGACTTTATCGAAGAGTCTGGACTTTCTCAAACGGTAATCCTCTTCATAAGAACCAGATTCGGTCCTAGCGTTAGCTTGGTTAGCGACATACCTATTATGTTGTCAGAACAGTGTTACTTTAATTGAAGCAGTAGTAGCAACTTGCGTGTTCATTGCAACCATTATGGGGAAGAAAGTGTGTTGCGAGTAGCTGATTTTATATGGGGAAATTAAGTGGATCACAAGGTCACAACAGTACGGACCAACGCACTATTATGGCGGTGTTAGGGTAACCATGTGTTCGGATAAGTCCGGACATATCCGGATTTTATGACTAGTCTGGACTTTGGCCGGATCTTTAAATTGTCCGGATTTTATAAATTACATTGAATATTGATAATAAAAGCACAAGAGAAGCGTCGATTAGACGTATCATTGTTCGTTTGTTTTATGGAGATTAAAATTAATATAAAAATAATAACAAACATTTATTGTGATTCTGTTATTTGTCATAAGGACCTCATTTATAAAACTATATTTAAGAGATTTTTTACATTGGACAGTGCAAATAGTTTCTTTAGAATTTAAAGTTATGTCTAGATGTGAGGACCTGTAATTGGCTCTTTGTCGCTACTATTCATTTCTAGTATATTAAGATAAGCTGTTGGTCTTCCATGTAAACAAAATAAATAAATAAATATTAATTTAAATACCATACCATTGTAACTAATAATAACATTGTAATGGTACCATTTTGTGATTAAAAAGTCCGGACTTTTGACTTTTGAAATTCCTAAATGGTTACCCTAGACAGTGTGTGATTTGGTAGTATTATCCCAAAAAAAGTTACAGTTAATTGTTTGAAATACTCTTTATTACTCATATTGTTGCAAAAGTACACCAGTAGTTTGCAAAGATTTTCTGCGATACTTTCGTCGTCTATATTTCATGACGCGTGTTCGCATGACTGTTAGTATTTATATATGTCGGCGGATGGCGTCTCACTCGCTCCTTCGAAACGTTAAACCGACAACAAATGTCATCAGTCAAGAGTACCATTGCCTTGTGAAACGTCAAGTAATGACAGTGACTGCTGTCATCACTTGGGAGTGGTCTACGCTAAGGGTAGTATTTAAGGGGCTATGCGTCATTGGAAGGGGCATTCGGCATTCGGCATTCAGACGTAAGCCGCGATAGTGAACGGACGTTAGCACAGAACTCTTCGTGCTTCACAAAGCAATCCGTTTGTACCTTGGCAATCATAACTGATTTTGTAAAGTAATAAGAAGATTTAAATTAAACGTTAGCTTGGTCACTAGACTACAGTTTTATTTTCGGGAAATATCATTGAATAACCAAGATGGCGGATCAAGAAAAACCACGTGGCTAACCGCCTATATCCCGCTCGCCCATCCGACATATATTTCTAGACACATTTAATTGTATCACTGCCTCATCTTGTTACAGATCAAAAGAGTTAAAAGTATGCAATCTGACGCTGTCGGAGGATAACCCGCTCACATGGAAAGAGGCTCTTGATATCGGTAAGCAATTTCACGTCTTAACGTCTCTAGTGTTATTGATTCATCAAATAAATAGCCAACGTCGAGACATTTTGCAAATATAGCCTTAGTCAGAAATAAAATCGGTCGGCAAGACATATTTATAATATTGTTACGTGTCGGGATGGGGTTCGAAATTATATGCCAGTTCACGCTTGACAGTTCTTTATTCACCACTCAGTTCACACAATTAACACAATGTTAATTACAAAACACTCACTAAACACTGTATTTCACTATACAAGTCTCTAAACTATCGCACTTGAACACTTTTCTTGCACTTTGATCGCCTTTGGATTCGCTCCGAATTCGCTGTTGAAACTCAACTGTCTCTGCGCGGCGCCAAGCGCTTATATACGCCGATCGACGCATTCTAGAAAGTACCTGTTAAATTGAGAATAAGCTAGCATCCGCTAGTACGAATTACCTACTTATACCTACGCAGGTAACGCGCATAACTTGTAAACAAGTGCAGATGTCGTTGCACTTTCTCCCTAACGCCGCACTGCATAAGGCTCATTTAGAATGAGCCGCATTACTCGACCTCTATCGCGACCCGCGGTGCTCTGGCACATTCGATCTCTAGCGCTTCCGCGGTTCCGTTTCTTATTTATGCAAATGAGGAGTGTTAAAACACGAATGTCATCATTGTTTTATTACCTAATCCTAGTTAATACCCCTTAACAGTTAATATCCAGTCCTTGTGTCTCGGTAGATGGCGCTGAATGACGTCCTAAAACGCGCTATGGTTTGGTTCCCCGGTTTATAAATAAACTAAGTATTTTTTTATGTATTTAAATCACTCTATAGTACTTGAAGTTACGAAAAATTTTTGAAGCACTTGGTTGTAAATTTCAGCAATCAGGTGTAGTGAATTCGTTCGTAGATTTACGCGATGAGCTGATTCATGGTCATGCTTAGCGGTGGGTCGTTCTCAAATTTTCAGACGACGAAACGCAACCGTTTTTCTCTTAAACGAAAACTAGTCCTCGAAACGGTTCTCGTTCGCAACTGGTTTTGGTTGCGGCTGGGCGATGACGCAACGAAACGACACGCGACGGTCGAACGAAGGTAACGCAACGAAACTGAACTAAATGAAATCTTGTTAACGTTCGTACTTCGTTTCGTTGCTGCGAACGAGACGACGAAACATCGAAATAAATGTAGTGTTATACTATAATCGACTTTAAGTGTTCAATAATAAAGATTATATTATTGTAAAATCAAAGCTAAATTATCATATAACGAAACGGCCTCATATCATTGCGTTCTATTATAGATTGTATTTATTTCATCATAAAGTACATATTGGCGTGCAGACAATCCGAGGACTAGTTGTTCGACGAAGACTGTTTTGATCCGAAACGTAAAACGGTTCTATCGTCGCGGAACACAAAACGGTCCTTGAAACCAGTTCATCTTTAGAATGCTCACACCCAGTCATGCTATAATAAGGGTTATATTTTTTATAATTTTAAAGCATGTAACTGCTTCATGTTTATATCTAAAGATAATATGACTAGAAAAAATCCACGCGGACCAGGCAGCAGACGGGACTAATAAGGGTTGTCAATACTTTAAGGCGCTACACATGCGCCGGAGGCCCGATCGGGTTAACACAGAATAAACCTCGATTATTTGTTCATTGAATTACAAAATGATATTTGAGTGATATGAACAAAACACGGTGAAACCAGCCTGCTTATTACCAGTTGAACTCCTGGGAATTTCCTTTCCAATACACTTACTAGTAACGTAGTAACACCACTGGGAACTTTGTAGACTACCAGTAGACTTACCACTAAAATAAAACTCGCATTAGTCCTACTCTTATGTAGACCTTGGTAATTGGTAGAATACATACATAGTTTTGTAAACATGAATCTATGACCCAAAATATATTAAGAATCTTTTAATTCGCTCAGAATTCAATATTCTGTCAAGTGAGAGACACAGGCAGCATGAACACTGCTGCTCAAGCTTGTATTAAAACCATAAACATTTATAAAATCATTGTTTTCAAAAAAGTATCAGGAGTCCATACATACACATGAGGTTCTGGTAATGAAAATGGTTTTATGAAAGAGGAATTGTTTGTCATTTAATTATAAAATATGTTTTAAAATAAGTAACGCAGTGTTTTTATTTCTCCATCATTTATTGTATAAACTTAAATTAACAAAAATCCACGGTGAAACTTCTCTACTACAACAATAGCACACTTTACGTTATTATATTCCCTACGTCTACCGTACACTCACATCACCAAATTAAACCATTTTTACTTTATATTTTTAATCGAAATATATCCCAGGTTTTAGGAGCTCGATGGCGGAAGTGGTTAGCGCTTTCGGCTGCGATGGTTGAACTTAAGCAACTTTCGCAGTGGTCGGTCATTGGATGGGTGACCAAAAATCACTATCTCGAGCTCCTCCGTGCTTCGGAAGGCACGTTAAGCCGTTGGTCCCGGCTGCATCTGCAGTCGTTAGCACCCACCAATCCGCACTGGGCCCGCGTGGTGGGTCATGGCCCAAATCTCCCTATTCCATCCTTTGCGATGCGTTATAAAATATAAAGTCCAACAATTTTAATTTTGGTGTTCACTTGGTTGGTTGCTAATCTCAGCAATCAGGTGTAGTGAATTCGTATTGTTACCTCGACGAGCTGATTAATGTTAATAATATTTTATCAAAATGAATTTTATGCATAATTTAGCTAATAATGTAAGTATATACGGAACCCTCCTCATGTGAGTTGAACTGGTCCGACTTTTAGGTATAAGTTCGTGATTATTTTATTTGATCTTGATAAATGTTTATTGGAGTTTACTCCCTAAGAATCGATTTGCATATATCCCTTATATATAATGAGGTATAATGAGGCCCGGTATGAGAAAATTGTGAGCAGTAAAATCTACTGAACAAATGACCTCGTTACGTTTTTCTAGGCAACCTCATCTCACTTTTAGCCATGGCAACGGATAAAAAACATTAAGTTTCACAAATGTCAATAAAATAAATAAACTAAAAATAGATAAAATCGGAGCAAAATTAATGAAAACAAATAAATAACAGAATATAGAGAAATGCCATAGGTCCTGCCTCGAAGGGCGCTGGCGCCGTACTGCACAGACTAGTTAGAGATACTACGTATCAGACGACCGACTCTAGTACAAAAAAAAGTTAGCGTCTACACAAGTACTTCTAGTCTTGTATGACATTTACTTACTTTTTAAAATTTTGTCAAAGGGTGGCTAAGGCTCAACTTTATTCATCCATAAAATTTTAGGTACCTAGGTATCCCACTTAATCGGAATTTTTATTCATAATTAAAGGAACTTCAATAAAACACATGAATTATTTATTAAAAGATTTATTTTTTAATGTTTTATTATATTTTTCCAACGCCATTTTTTGCGTCATAGGCAAAGAACAATTACTTAATCGGAAAATGTCAGTGCCCTTTAGTATTTTGTTTATTGTTCTGCACCAATTGATTATGGCAAATTTAATAACTAAATTTACAAAATTATCTATTACCAATAACTTGTGCTCGGTACATACAATAAAATCAAATTAATACTTAAAAATAACTACTTCTTTTATATTCTTGGCTATATTTGTTTCATGTTCTTTTATTTCTAAGTATTCATTTGATTCGTTAATTATTGTACCAAAGCACCTTACTGCACCTTCTGATGGGTAGTGCAACCGGTTTTTAGCTTTTGTATATTCTCTGTGACTTATCCAAACATGTATATTAGTTAAGTCCCTGGTGGTGAGGGAATTTTTGCATGTTGTGCAACCACTTTTTAAATTTTGCAATACCTTTCGCACTACCCATCCAGCAGTATAGGCCCGTGAGTGTACATTTATTTTTTCTCTTCGTGCCTGTTCTAAAATCATATCAATACTGGGATGACCCGGCATGATATCTCTGTCATCAAACAGTGTTTGCAAATTAAGTACTTGATCAGCCGGGTCATCCTCACAATTAAACGTTTCATTATGAAATTTTAGTATTCTAGTTATTAGTAAGGATTTATTTGTGCAGCTGAAGCTGTGGCAGTCTGGGTCATTGTTCCTAAAATTATAGGCTCGCACTTGCCCAAAGAAATTTTCAATAGGGTCAGAATTAAAATATCTCGGACGCATTATCTTCATATTTTCTTTTTTAAAAAGCTGCCACAGCCTCTGATAACTTTTTAATGTAGTTATAAAATTTGCCAATGAGGGCACTGACTTTTCTGTTCCTGTATTATCGACATATTTCATTTTTGTAATTTATTTATAGATTCATTCCAGAATACATGATGCAGTAAATTATTTGTGACCGCCGTTCGTTGACACTTCCCTTTAGATTTTTTCCCTAACATGGAGGCTCCGTTTATGCTATCAAATAATTGGTCTAAGAATAAGACGGTCTTTGCGGTGTTGGCCAGGGTTTCACTGACGGGTCTACCATCGGCATAGTGCGCTGAAACAATATTTTAAACATCCTATAAAAATAATGTCTTTTTACAAATATTTATAACTTATACTAATACGCCGCCCCCAGCTTCGTACAAATGCAATGTATACTATAATATATATGTAAATGTTCCTCTTCGATCATTCTTCTTTATTGCTAAAAACTGCATGGAATCCGATGCCTAGATTAAAAGTTTTAGGGGTACATATAGAAAGAGCAATTTTGTACTATACTATCTATAGATTGTTTTATGAGTCCTGTTGTATCTATAGATTGTTTTACGAGTCCTGTTGTACCATGTCATATTATGACCATTACTTTGTCTGTTAGTGAAATAACATTAAATTTATTTTATTTCTATCTAAGATGAGCATGACACACCTTTTACTTCAGTACAACAGAACTAAATGTTTATTCAGTATTATAAAATACACTTACAAAATTTTGCAGTGTACGATAATGCAGCAGACATGGTACTGCTTAATACTTTTACACAATTCTTTACCTATAAC